CGCTACCAAAAGACCGCTCTGCCTGTCGAGAGAACTTTTGTCCTATCAGGCTTTGCTAGGGATCTATCAGCTTGTTTTCATCCACCTAATCCCCAGAGAGACCCCAGCGCGGTTCTCCGGTGCAAACCCGATTTCGTATTATCCATATTAGAGAAAGCAACGAGTCCGCGGGGCTCTCGACCGGCACGATGGTGAACATCACGGAGAAGATTAAGGAGTATGTTCTTCTTGTCCCCGATACCAACAAATTTAGAGGGATTATCGGTTCTGACGGCATCTTTTGTCTCGTTGCAGGATTGAAGATGAGATGCGCAGGACGCAGAGTAAGTTAACTGTTTTTTGCCCGCCGCCGCGGCTGCTCCGATGATAGCCCCGCCATACCATAATGCAATGCTAACCCGAGCAAATAGAGAACAAGGCCACAGGTGGGTGAATCCTTCCCCCCCGGAAGATTGCATTGCATGCATGAAGATCAAGTGATCCGATCCTAACATGCTACATGTCAGAGTACCATCTGGGTCTGTTGAAAGGGTAGGTGGTCAGGTCACGTTATCCAATTCCCCTTTCTATCAACATCAAACGTTCCCACCCCAAAGATACAAGAATGATGATAACTGACCAACCCTGTGCAGTAAACTCGCCCGTCTGAGGGCCCAACTCCTGGAACCCACGGGGGGCTCCGGCGGCGGTGGCACGGGGTTCGACGTCAGCAAGAGCGGCGATGCGCGCGTCGCGCTCGTCGGCTTCCCCTCCGTCGGTAAATCCACCTTCCTCAGCAAGATCACCAAGACCAAGAGTGAGACCGCCGCGTACGCCTTCACCACGCTCACCGCCATCCCCGGTGTCCTGGAGTACGGCGGCGCGGAAATCCAGATCCTGGATCTGCCCGGTATCATCGAGGGGGCTGCGGAAGGAAAGGGTCGAGGACGGCAGGTCATCTCCGCGGCTAAGGTAGGCAGCAGACTCCCTCCCTCCCCCTTATAAAATCCCACTGGTGCATTTCTTCGGACATATGGCTGGGATAGACACTGACGATTGCATTCTGGGGCTTTGGCGTGTAGACAAGCGACCTGGTCCTGATGGTCCTGGATGCCACGAAACGAGCGGAGCAACGAGCCCTGCTCGAGGCGGAATTGGATGCCGTGGGGATTCGTCTCAACAAGGAACCTCCGTACGTTCTCTAGCGGTCTTGACTCGGTCCTTTATCCTTGACTAAAATCTAACCCCAACCACAGGAACATCTACCTCAAACAGAAGAAGGCCGGCGGTGTGAAGATCACCTTCCAAACGCCCCCCAAGTACCTCGACGAGAAGATGATCTTCAACGTTCTCCGTGACTACAAGATGCTGAACTGCGAAGTCCTCGTGCGAGATGAATATGGTATGTCCCCATCCCTCAACACCTACTCAAACAACCCCCCACCCCCGGGTATAACCAATTGAAACTAACACAACACCACACCCCACCACAGCGACAATCGACGACTTCATCGACGTGATCA